GGGTCGCAAAGAGATACAACTTAGTAACTGAACAACTGCAGCAAGACTCACCAAGAATAAAAGAAGAGGATTCAAATCAATAAAATTAGAAATGAAAAAGAAGTTACAACAGATACCACATAAATACAAAGCATTTTAAGAGAGAATACAAGCAACTACATGCCAGTAAAATTGACAACCTAGAAGAAATGGACAAATTCTTAGAAAGTTACAAGCTTTAAAGACTAAACCAAGGAAAAAATAGAAAATAAAAACAGACCAATCACAAGTACTGAAATTGAAACTGATTAAAAATCTTCCAACAAACAAATAATCCAGGATCAGGTGACTTCACAGGCAAATTCTATCAAACATGCAGAGAAGAGTTAACAGCTACCCTTCTGAAACTCTTCCAAAAAAATTTCAGAGAAAGGAACATTCCCAAGCTCATTCTACCAATACAAGGCCACCATCATACTGAAATCAAAATCAGACCAAGATATCACAAAAAAAAAATTATAGGCCAATATCACTGATGAACATAGAAGCAAAAGTCCTCAACAGAACATGATCATATTGAATCTAAAAACACATTAAAAGGATCATACAGTATGATCAAGTGGAATTTATACCAGTGATGCAAAGAGTTTTCAATATCTGGAAATCAATCAGTGAGATACAACATCAAGAAATTGAAGAATAAAAACCGTATGATCATTTCAATAGGTTCAGAAAAAGCTTTTGACAGAATTCAACACCTATTTATGATAAAAATTCTCTAGAAAGGGGGCATAGAGGGAACCTGCTGCTGCTGCTAAGTCGCTTCAGTTGTGTCCAACTCTGTGCGACCCCATAGACAGCAGCCCACCAGGCTCCCCTGTCCCTGGGATTCTCCAGGCAAGAACACTGGAGTGGGTTGCCATTTCCTTCTCCAAGGCATGAAAGGGAGAAGTGAAAGTGAAGTCACTCAGTCGAGTCCAACTCTTCGCGACCCCATGGACTGCAGCCTACCAGGCTCCTCCATCCATAGGATTTTCCAGGCAAGAGTACTGGAGTGGGTTGCCATTGCTTTCTCCGATAGAGGGAACCTACCTCAACATCATAAAGACCATATACAACAAACCCACAGCATTCTCAACAGTGAAAAACTGAAAGCATCTCTTCTATGATCAGGAACAAGACAAGTATGTCCACTCTCACCACTTTTATTCAACATAATTTTGGAAGTCCTAGCCATGGCAATCAGAGAAGAAAAAGAAATAAAAGGAATCCAAATTGGAAAAGAAGTAAAATCCACTCTTTCCAGATAACATGATTCTATACACAGAAAATCCTAAAGATGCTACCAGAAAACCACTCGAGCTCTTCAGTGAATTTGGTAAACTGGGAGGATACAAGATTCATTAACAGAAATATCTGGCATCCCCATACATTAATAACAAAAGACCCAAAAGAGAAATCAAGGAAACAATCCCATTTACCATCACATCAAAAAGAATAAAACACCTACCTAAGGAGGCAGAGGATCTGTACTCAGAAAACTGTAAGATACTGATGAAAGAAATGAAAGATGATACAAACAGATGGAGAGATATACCATGTTCTTGGACTGGAAGAATCAATATTATGAAAATGATGACACTACCCAAAGCAATCTACAGATTCCATGTAAACCCTATGAAATTAACAATGGCATTTTCCACAGAATTACAAAATATTTTACAATTTGTATGGAAACACGAAAGACCATGAATAACCAAAGTAATCTTGAGAAAGAAAAACGGAGCTGGAGCAATCAGGCCCCTGACTTAGGACTACAAAGCAAGAGCAGTCAAAATAGTATGGTACTGGCAATAAAAACAGAATATAGGTCAAGGCAACAGGTAGAAAGTCCAGAGATAAACCCATATACCTATGGCTACCTAATCTATGACAAAGGAGGCAACAATACACAATGGAGAAAAGACAGTCTCTTCACTAAGTGGTTCTGGGCAAACTGGATAGCAAATGGAAAAGAATGAACACCATAGACAAAAATAAAGACTTAAATGCAAGGCCAGATACTAAAAAACTCCTAGAGAAAAACATAGGCAGAACACTCTGACATTAATTACAGTAAGATCTTTTTCAATCAACCTCCTAGAGTAATGAAAATAAAAATAAAGAAAAGGGACCTAATTAAAAATTTTTGTATAGCAAATGAAACCACAAACAAAATGAAAAGATAACCCTCAAAATGGAAGAAAATATTTGCAAATGAAGGAACCAACAAGAGATTAATCTCCAAAATGTACAAACAGCTCAATATCAAAAAAGCAAGCAACTCAGTTAAAAAAAAAAAAAAAACAGCACATAAGATCTAAATAAACATTTCTTTAAAGAAGACATATGGCTAAAAAGCACATGAAAAGATGCTTAACAATCACTAATTATTAGAGAAATGAAATCAAAACTACAAAGAGGTATCACCTCATACCAGTCAAAATGACCATCCAGAAACAATAAATGCTGGAGGAGGTGTGAAAAAAAGGGAACCCTCCTACACTGTTGATGGGAAAGTAAATTGGTACAGCTACTATTTTAAAGGAATTGGAGATTCCTTTAAAAACTGAAAATAGCAGGGCTTCCCTTGTAGCTCAGTTGGTAAAGAATCTGCCTGTTTGATGCAGGAGACCTATTTCTACCAGGGTTCTATTTCTGGGTCAGGAAGAACCCCTGGAGAAGGAAACGGCAACCCACTCCAGTATTCTTGCCTGGAGAATCCCATGGACAGAAGGTAAGCAAGAGTTGGACACGACTTAGCAACTAAACCACCACCAGCAACCATATAACCTAGCAATCCCACTCCTGGGCATATATCTGGAGAAAATCATAATTCAAAAATATACAAGCACTCCAATATTCACTGCAATGCTATTTACAATAGGCAAGACATGGAAGTGTCCTAAATTTCCAACAACAGAGTGTGGATAAAGATGTGATACATATATACAATAGAATATTACTCAGCCAAAGAAAAAGAACAGAATTATGCCATTTGCAGCAACATGGATGGTCCTAGAAATTGTCATACTGAGTGAAGTGAGACAGACAAACAGTGCTGTAACACTTATATGCGGTATCTTAAATGATACAAATGAACTTATCTTTAAAAAAAGAAAGTTGTAGACGTAGAAAACAAATTTATGGTTACCAGGGAGTAAGTGGGGAGGGAAGAAACTGGGAGAGTAGGATGCGCATATACACACTACAACATATAAAACAGGTGCGAAGGACCTACTGCACGGCACAGGGAGCTCAACACTCTGTAGTGGCACGTACGGAAACAGAGACCCACAAAAGGGAAACAGACACACACTCACAGCTGACTCATCTTATCGTATACCTGAAACTAACACCACACTGTGAATCAACTATACTCCAAAACAATTTTCAAAAAACAGAAGACTTAAAACAAACAAAAATATGAAAAATAACAACTGCTGGTGATATGGAGAAGCTGCAGTCCTCATACATTGCTGGTGGGGATGTAAAATGATGTAGCCACTGTGGTGGGAAGTTTGGCAGTTCATCAGTTAAAGCTGGAGTTATCATATGACACAGAAATAAAACATGTCCACGTAAAATTCATTCATGAATGTTCATATCATTAGTCATAATAGCCCCAAAGTACAAACAACCCAAAAATTATCAACTGATAAATGGTTAAATAAAATGTGGTATATTTATACTATGGAATATTATTCAGCAATAAAAAGAAATGAAGTATAGATGGATGTTACATAAACTTTGAAAACATGGAGAAAGAATCCAGTCACAAAAGATCACGTATTACATAATTCTAAGTTTATGAAATGTCTAGAATAAGTGAATCTATAGACAGAAAATGTATAAGTGGTTGCTAGGAACTGGGGTACCCAAGGAGAGACAGGAGTACCTGCTAATGGAGATAGGGCTTCTCTCTGGAGTGATATAAATGCTCTGGAATTGGACAGTGGTGATGGTTTCATGACTGTGACTACTAAGAGAAAAAAACTGAATTTTTACTTTAAGAGTGAATTTTAAGGTATTTGAATTTCTCCCAATGAAGCTCTCAAAAAAAGCTGTAACTAAGAAAAGATAGGGCTCTATAACATAATTTGAGTTTCTTAACAAACAACTTTTAATAAAAGTTGTACAAGTTATTGAAAAAAAATCTATCATTTTCTCTTTCCCAATGAATAATATATAAAATAGACCTCAGTGATGTTCTGCAACAAGGACCAGTGCAGATGTAGAATTTTCACTTTAGGTGAACCTTTAAGAAAGCAAAGGGCTGCAGAATACCTTGACTGCTCTAACTCCAGTGAACTGCAGACCTATGAAGAAGCAATGGCTCTTCCATCATTCTTCAATCCTGAAAATAAAACTGGAAACTAGGATGCATATCTGGCTCTACTATATTATGTGACTGGAATAAAATTGCTGTGATTCTAAACTTGATTTCAAGTATTTCATAATTTTCAATCTTGCCTTCTGAAGTCAACACCTACTGTTTCAGTTTGCTCTGAATCCTTTCCTTTTAGGATAAGGCCCACCACTCAACCAAGGTGATTCTGGCATGCATCACCAAATACAGTGCATAATACCCAGCCCTGGCCAAGACCATGGGGTCCTGCCCCTTTTCCCACAGGGACTGGTCCAATTTAAGGGCAGGTGTTCCAGAGCAGACAAGAGTCCTTTTGTGGGATCTGATTAGTGGACCCCAGAAAAGGAGGTTATCTTTCTTCTTTTTGGATTGGAGACTTTAAGGATGTGTGCTTTGGCAGGGGTGGGGTGGGGTGGGGTGGGGTGGGGTGGGACGGGACACTGGCCTCTTCCTCATTATGGAGAGAGGGCCAGCCTGAAAATGAGGTCAGGAAACAGAAAAACTCAGGAGAGGGAGGCCAGAAGGCCTGGCTGCATAGTCCCAGCTTTGTCTAATGAGTCACATTAATGTTTCGAGGCTGTTACTGAATGAATCAGTGCAGGGGAAGCATTTCTTCACCAAGCAGTCAAACACAATTTATTTTGGAACTAAATAGTACAATCTGAATAAAAGAAAGTTTTAGCCTACATCTTCCAGACAGATATTTTCTCATCAGGCTGCATGCTGATTCTCATAGTCCCACCCCTGGCCTCCATAGTACTGACAAAGGATGCACAAATTGTGTCATGTGGTTGAGAAGTCAGTGGAAACTAACAATATTCCCATTCCTTGTGCTTCAGAACAGTTCTTAAAACACATCTATTATGTTCTCAGCTCACAACTATTCAATTAAATTTTTATTCTAAGAATAACTTAGAGCAAGAGAATCATTTATACCTACTGAAAACCAGAACTCATCCATTTTCTTGTTTCATGGAGGAAAAAACTGGTCCACCTGAACAGATGTAACAAAAAGTACGTTTCTTATTTTGGCTTCTCTGGTTTAATGACCAGAGTCCTTTGTTGTTTTCATCTTGGTTTCAACATAGTAGTATCAATATCCTTTTCTTCCCCTGAATCTTGATCTGGCATCCAACTGAAAATAAATACACAAGTAAATCATAATTTGGACACCATAATCAAACACAGTTTTGGTAACAGGTGTCACTACATGAGAGGAGTAAACCAGCTTCCAGCATATCAAAAAGGCAACTGTCACAGCTCGGGGCAGGAAAAAAAAATAACAGGGAAAGATGGCATTAAAAACAGAAGTTCCATTTACGGTCACAGTAAGAATTTTCTTCTTGAGTCCAACTTACATTCATCTTTTTTTCTGGAGTACACTCAATATACATTATTCTTCTAACAAAGCTGACTTTCTAATTAAGCTTTATTTCAGATGATATTCAAGTGTTTTTAGAGTCTTTAAATAGTAACTGAGGAAAGAGCCTTGAAATATATGTAACACACAGCCATTCTGAGATTACAAATCCTTAAATTACTACTCATCGGTCAACTGCATATTCTCTGACTTAAGCCTCACAGTACAGCCACTTCTTAAGTGGTGCCACAGGATGGAGGGTCCTAGTCAGTACAGAAGGCAAAACTGCACAGTCAATACCATTTCACAGAAATCCCAGAGGAATGAATTAGTTTAGAGCTAAACTCTATTAATGAGGACAACACAGCCAGTGTGGGACAGACCACTATTTCTTCATCTGAGCACCAGATACAGTAGCTAAGAGCCACATTTTCAAAAAGTAAGTAATCTTCAAACAGGGGAATCATGATCAAGGATGATGAGATGCTATTTATTAAGAGGGCACAGCCGATTCAAACCTACCATCTCACCTTCACTCTGAGTTACATACCCACTGTTTGAAATATTAAGCAAAATTACCAGCACAATTTAAATCATTTTATTTCAGGTTTTTGCCAACTGAAGTTGCAACAGTTAGTTCCTCACACTGGAGGACTAACAGTAAGTCCTAGTCTTGAAGAAAGGTTGCAAGGATCTCTTAAATCTGCTAAAAAGTTCCCAATACTGCTCTTTCTGAAGTCAAAGTGAGTGAAGTTCTGCCTTGTGCTGATATTTAGAAATGGTCAGAAGCATGTTTACTTTTTACTTAAGATTATTGCACATGTCTGCAGAAGGCAGATAAACTGTGGAAAAGTTTTACATGTTCTGATTTCTTAATGTTCTTTGGAGATCAAAGCCTGAGCTTCAGGATGGGAATTAACAGGGAGTTTATTACAAATCCAGTCATTATGATTAATAAGGACACATAATCACCTCCTACACTAACTGTTCTTTATGACTTCTCAATTATATAAACATGATTTAACATTCTTGAAAGGTCTAAAGGCTTGCATTTTACAAGGGTAACAAAACTGTGTGGGAGAAGGCAAGAAAATCCTCTTTTACTACATTAAATGACAGGAAAATATGGCAAAGAACTGTATCACTTGAGAAAGCATTGCCAAATTTAATCTCACTCTACACCTCCCTGGATCTGATTAGTTAGCAAAGTTTTTCTCCAGCCTCCCAGATTATAGTATCCTATGTGCTCTGCTTCTCCTGTCAACAAAAGGAAAGGGATTTAAGTGCTGCTGACCAATCGAGAGCATGTTCAAGTTAAAGTTACTGCTGTTTTTAAAGGGATGTTCATTTTTGTGATTTCTTATTTTCTTTTCACAAAGACAAAGCTCCTGGTTTCTATTCCTTTGTAGATCTTTGAATCAAAGAACACTAGAGTAGAAACCATGAGATTTGTAATGTCCTTGAGGCTGTTTCTCCACAGTTCATCGCTACAGACTCAAACACAGGTGCCAGCATTTTTTCTAATCACATCCACATGTAAGGCACGGGACACACACTCTAGACCCCCACATTATGGCTGTTCAACTGCCAAATGATCCAAATACACAGTGACCAACATCAACTTTTTTTCCATTTGTACTTGCCAGGACCATGGTCTTAACTCTTTTTTAAGAAATTTATGAAGTTCAGCTGCTGTGGTCAGCATAACAGAGCAATCAGCTGTGGGTTTCCATGAACCTCACATTAATTCACTGGGTGAGAAAAAAATACATCTTTTTTTCCAAGTGACATCACTGCAACATATTTATAATTACTAAGTCACTCACATATTTAAATCCACAGAGCTAATTTTGAGTATAAGCTTTTAAAAATCTTTAGGCACTTACCATTGATCTCTTACACTCAAAAAATGAGTATTTCAAAGCTTTGCAGTTTCCTTCCTTCAGACACTGCCGAGGGGATTTTCCTTCCTATGACACAAAAACAGTATGAATACATGGGAAATTCTCTCACAAAGTACCAAAGTAACTGTCCAGTTTTTTTTTTTTTAAGCTAAGCAAAAGGAGAAAACAGTAATTTATATAAGAAATAATTCATAAATCATTTTAACTGTTGGTACCTAAGGAGAAAAGGATAAAATAAAAAATGTGTGAAATAACTTGGGGGCACTTTAAGGATACCCCTGAATTCTTGAAAACACTGGTTTCCATGAGACACTTTTCTTTAAAATCTTTATATAGAAATCTAGAAACTGAAATCTCTAGCTCCTTATGTGTAAGAAAGGAAAAGAGTGGAGGTGAAAGTAGTACTGGGGCTTCTTCAGTGTTTTTCAAACTTACACACTCAAGGAGTCCTAAAGACAGGGGAGATAGTGTGTGAGACACGGCGACAGAGGCGGGGGGAGAGGGCACGCAGGTGAGAGTTCAGGAACACCGGGAGTGAAGGGGAGGGCTTTGTTCTAGAAGCCAGGATCAGCTTGCTTTAAAGTCTCCAATTACATTATCCTTTTACACAAGCAAGTCTACCTGGAACACATCTTTGCATTTTCCCACCCCTTACCTTCACAGTCAAGTTCTCTATTCTGAGAAGCTCACTGAGTAAGAATTGGAAAACGAAAGTGAAATTTTTAACAGAATTTATATATACTGGTGAGGGAAGATCTTCTTGGGCTCAATGTGTCTTGGGCTCAACTTGTCTTTAAGCAGTGAAAGCTCATAAGAGCTTAAGAAAACTGGATTGAACCATTCCCTTTCTGCCAACAAGACAGGATATTGCTGAAGTTCACTAGCTGGTACTGCTATAAGATTAGTGCTATTTCTGACTCTTAAGAAATAATAAGACTTTAAAAATCACACTTGATAAAGTAACTGTGAAAGCAGATAACAGCTAAAATTTAGTAGTATTTTCGTAGGTAAATCCCAGACAACCATTGGTTTTTCAGACAACCACTTGCAGCAAGTGGTGGCTGTGCAGAGCTGGAGCAGCCGTGAGAAGCTACCCCACGTCCAAGGTAAGAGAAACCCCAGTAAGATGGCAGGCGCTGAGAGAGGGCATCAGAGGGCAGACAGACTGAAACCACGATCACAGACAACTAGCCAATCTGATCACATGGACCACAGTCTTGTCTAACTCACTGAAACTAAGCCATGCCGTGTAGGGCCACCCAAGACGGAGCTGACTGTGGGTCAGATCATGAACTCCTTATTGCCAAATTCAGACTTAAATTGAAGAAAGGCAATGCAAAGGATGCTCAAACTACTGCACAACTGCACTCATCTCACACGCTAGTAAAGTAATGCTCAAAATTCTCTAAGCTAGGCTTCAGCAATATGTGAATCACGAAATTCCAGATGTTCAAGCTGGTTTTAGGAAAGGCAGAGGAACCAGAGATCAAATTGCCAACATCCGTTGGATCATCGAAAAAGCAAGAGTGTTCCAGAAAAACATCTATTTCTGCTTTATTGACTATGTCAAATCTTTTGACTGTGTGGATCACAATAAACTGTGGAAAATTCTTAAAGAGATGGGAATACCAGACCACCTGACCTGCCTCTTGAGAAACCTGTATGCAGGTCAGGAAGCAACAGTTAGAACTAGACATGAACAACAGACTGGTTCCAAATCGGGAAAGGAGTACATCAAGGCTGTATACTGTCACCCTGCTTATTTAACTTATATGCAGAGTACATCATGAGAAACGCTGGGCTGAATGAAGCACAAGCTGGAATCAAGATTGCTGGGAGAAATATCAACAACCTCAGATATGCAGATGACACCACCCTGATGGCAGAGAGTGAAGAAGAACTAAAGAGCCTCTTGATGAAAGTGAGAGGAGAGTGAAAAGGTTGGCTTAAAGCTCAACATTCAGAAAACTAAGATCATGGCATCCAGTCCCATCACTTCATGGCAAATAGATGGGCAAACAGTGGCTGACTTTATTTTTTTTGGCTCCAAAATCACTGCAGATGGCGACTGCAGCCATGAAATTAAAAGACGTTTGCTCCTTAGAAGAAAAGTTATGACCAACCTAGACAGCATATTAAAAAGCAGAGATATTACTTTGCCAACAAAGTTCCGTCTAGTCAAGGCTATGGTTTTTTCAGTAGTCATGTATGGATGTGAAAGTTGGACTATAAAGAAAGCTGAGTGCCGAAGAATTGATGCTCTTGAACTGTGGTGTTGGAGAAGGCTCTTGAGAGTCCCTTGGACTACAAGGAGATCCAACCAGTCCATCCTAAAGATCAGTCCTGAGTGTTCATTGGAAGGACTGATGCTGAAGCTGATAATGCAATACTTTGGCCATCTGATACAAAGAGCTGACTCATTTGAAAAGACCCTAATGCTGGGAAAGATTGTAGGCAGGGGGAAAAGGGGACGACAGAGGATGAGATGGCTGGACGGCATCACTGACTCGACGGACATGAGTTTGAGTAAACCCCGAGAGGTGGTGATGGACAGGGAGGTCTGGCTTCTGCAGTCCATGGAGTCACAGAGTCGGACACGACTGAGTGACTGAACTGAACTTTTCCTTTCTGGCATTATTTTTTCTTTTGGATGGTTCTGGTCACTGCCTCCTATAAAATGTTACAGTAACAATTTAACAGAAGCAGAAGAGATTAAGAAAGGGTAGAAAGAACATGTGGAAGAACTATACAAAAAAGGTCTTTATGACCCAGATAACCACAGTGGTGTGGTCACTCACTTAGAGCCAGACATCTTGGAGTGTGAAGTGGGTCTTAAGAAGCATTACTATGAACAAAGTTAGTGGAGGTAACAGAATGTTTACCTACTGAAATACTACTAAATTTTAGCTCTTACCTAGCTCACATTATAAGCTCCTTACTGGAAAATTCAGGCTTAAACTAAAGAAAGTAGGGAAAAACACTAGACCATTCAGGTATTACCTAAATCAAATCCCTTATGATTATACAGTGGAGGTGACAAAGAGATTCAAGGGATTAGATCTGCCTACTAGATTCTTAAATGAATGATGCAAAGTAAGAGAGGAAAATAACAGAATGGGAAAGACTAGGGATCTCATCGATGAAATCGGAGATATCGAGAGAAGATTTCATGCAAGGATGGGCACAATAAAGGACAGAAATGCTAAAGACCTAACAGAAGCAGAAGAGATTAAGAGGAGGTAGCAAGAATACACAGCAGAACTATACCAGAAAGGTGTTAATGACCCAGAAAACCATGGTGGTGTAGTCACTCACTTAGAGCCAGATATCCTGGAGTGTGAAGTCAAGTGGGCCCTAGGAAGCATCACTACAAACAAAGCTAGAGGGGAGTGGTCCCAGGATGGCAGAAGAGTAGGAGGGGGAGACCACTCTCTCCCTGACAGATACATTAAAAGGTCACCTGGGCGTGGAGCAACCTCCACAGAACAACTTCTGAATGCTGGCAGAGGACCCCAGATACCAATTTCTCTGAAATTATGTGGCACAAAGGATAAAGATGAAAAGGGAGACGAAGGATTTCAGGATGGAGACTTATCCTGGGGAGGAATTCGAGAAGAAGTCTCCACACAGTAGGAAGCCGTCTCAGTGGGGAGATCAGTGGGAGCTCTGGAATCTCAGAAGCAGCATAAAAAACCCACCACAGAAATCCCGCCGAAAGGCGATTACCAGCCAAGCAGCAGCTCCTATGCTTGCGACCCCACCGTGAGTGGGGCTGGGGGCAGAGGTGCGTGCCGTGCGGCTGGGCCTTGGGGAGAAGACCGGGCTTGAACGCCGTGAGGACTCAATGAGGGGACCAACGTGACAGCACAGACAGAATGGGGAGCCCCAAACTGTGGGAATGCCAGAGGAACAAAGGAAAAAAAAGGACCTTTCCCTCGGGAAGGCTCTAATGCTGCACCGTGACCCCTGGGGCACTCACAGAACAAAGGGTCACACCCTCACAAATAGCAAAGGAGAGCTGCTGTTTGTGGCTCTCCCTGGAGGCAGAGAGACAGGTGCAGGACAGCCAGAGGCGAAAGGCAAAGGGCCACTGCAATCTCAGTCCCAGGGACCATACTTCCCACCAAGCACTGAGCAGGCTGCCAACCGCTCACCACGTCTTCCTGGGGTCCTGGATGGTTCATATCTGCCGGCGGTGTCAGCCTGAGACCAGCTCCCCTGAGGAAAGGCACAGCCCACCAGGGACTGTGCCCTCGCGGTGCCCCAGGAGCCTGAGCCGCTTGGACTTGGGAGGCGCACGCTGCCTGGGGCTGTGGCGACCCCCGAGTGGCCCACCCACTGCAAGTGCTCCCCACACAGGCGAGTGTGTTTTGTTCGTAGCGTCCCTCCCCTCCAAAGCACAGCTGAGCAAGCGAGCCCACATTAGTGGCCACTTTCACCCTCTCGTCAGGGCAGAAATCGGGCACTGAAGAGAGGCCTGCAAACAGAGGAGGCCAACCTAAGCAATGAAAAGCAGGGGGAACTGCTCCAGAGCTGGCAGGTGCAACATTAAAATCCTGCAGCTAAGCTGTGACGGTGCATCTGAGGGGCAACCACAGACTTTGAGAACAAGTACAAGCTGGAACGAGGGAATATCTGACACCGAACTGACCCCACACTACCCACAACAGCTCCAGAGACATTTCTAGATACGTTTTTCTTGTTATTATTTTTTAAGTTTTTATTATTTTTTAAATTCCTTTTTTAATTATTATTTTATCTTTTTCCCCTCTTTTTTCCCCTTCCTTCACTTTTTCTTTTTTCCCTCATACTGTCCTAATATGCTTCTTTAGTACTCCTTTAACTTTTTTAAAAATAGCCTATGTATATCTTTCTTTAAAAAAACTTACTTTTAAAATAAATTACACATTCTTTATTTTTATGTTTGACTCTGACTTTTTGTATATTGTACTTTTGGGAGCCTAATTTTTACTTTAGGTTTTTAACTTTTGCTTTTTGAGCTTTTGTTATTAATTTTGTATCTTTGAGAGTCTAATTTTCAATATGCATTTTCACTTAGGGATTTC